CGGGGGGTTTTCTTTTTAAGGAAGACTTAAGTGACTAGCTAGGTCCTCAGAGGGGAAATGCTTACCATCCCCTTAAAACCATATCACAGACAGCAATTACCATTTCAGGAATGCAAAGTAATCATCTGTTCTTTGTCAGGAAGGCAGTTGTACTGAAGGCCAAGGAATTACTACCTGACACTGTCTGCAATAATTTAAGGCAGGCTGTATTTCCTGTAGGATTCCTCCAAAGCTTTTACTGAAACACTGAAAAAAATACTTGGATTTGTTACTATGACAACAGATGTGAAGTAGAAGAGTGCCCCTAGGAAATCATGGGAAGGCAAAGAATTTTACCCCCGAAGAAAACAAGCAGGCAAAGGAAGGAGAGAACTTAAGTTTTAAATAACCATATCCTGGCTTCAGCACAGTCCAACAGTAAGACCAGGCTGATGAAATTTGCATTTCAATGCATAAGGCTCTATTCTTTGCTGGTTAGACAGTGGATATAGTTTTGGAGGAAGCATCTTACTCTCTTAAAAGAGCAGTCTGACTTAATAGAAACAGGTAACAGTGAGACCTATTCAACACAAAGGACTTGAGAAGCTTTCATGCTCTAACACAACGCCCAAAGAGCACAAACTGTGAATCCAGTCCCATCCTGCTCCATCAATGGGAGATGGACATCCAGAACGCTACAGTGCTTCCTCAGAGCCCAAGGTCACAGCAGAAGCATGGCAACAGAAGCCAAGATGGAAATTAGACAAGTTCCTAGACAGCAAATCTAACCTGGGTGAAAGGTTTGGGGGTTTTGGTTGTTTTTTTTTTTTTGGTCTGGAAGGAATAATAAAACTAGGACTTAGATGGCAGAGTTCAGCTCTCACTTCAAGCAGACGCAAAGGACACAAAGCAGGATTGCCTGCTTCAGGCTGGATGAGGTCCAGACGCACATCCGAAGACTGTGCTCTCCCAGTTTGCAGCTCACAAGCTATCTGAGCTAAAGGCAGGTCTTTTCTACCGAGCAGTGTTAGACCCCTCTCCCATGCCCCTGCCCACTTGTATACTAAACACTTGTAAGCTCCTGGCATCCACCATACAGTGGATGTGAAGAAGTATCCCCCGATGTGAAGAAGTATCCCCCTTTGTTTTTTCTGAACCTATCACTTGATAAAAGAACCATGGAGCAATGAAGAGTTGTGACAGGAAGTCATCACTCCCTGTTCTTATCACTCATAATTATAGACTTTTTTCCCTGTCACACATTCTCCAAGTTGGAGTTCTGGTTTATTTAGTGATTTCTTACACAGAAGCAATTTCATACATCTGGTCATCGTGGTCCCCTTTCTGCCATATCCCTTAGGAGACCAGCGAGGACCAGAACTGCTCACAAGGCTCACAATGCAGGCTGCTGGAGGATGAGGTAAAGAGAGAAGGTGTGACAATACACTTACTCCTGCCCTCTTCTCCTCAGGACTCTGCATCTGGCACCAGCAGAGGTGGAACACCCAGCTACATAGGCTTTTGCTTTGACCTGGACCTTAATCTTAAACTCTGGTGTCCCAGTTTGCTTGCAAGATAAACATGCATGAACGTTAGAAGTCCCACACAAACAGAAGCAGGCAATCCTACACTTGTTTGCTCAGGTCACTTATCTGGCAACGAAGAAAGCAAGACTTCACACAACTGGAACGGATAGAAGAGCACTAACTTTAATGGCATTTAAAGATCAAAACCACATAAGACACTTTCAGATGATAATCTGCCTACCTCTCCTTCAATCTTCCTACAGGCAGAGGCTAGGCAGCCTGAGAGCCCTGGAATCTCACCAATCCTCCACGAGGATGAATCATTAACAGCTAAAGATTGTTCTGACTACTGTTTTTAGCACAATGTGATGTCAGACTGCCACTTTAAATACATTTAGCCTATTTAAATACATTTTATTCTGATCTGTCCTCCTAACCCCCAGTAAAAGTCAACCATGCTAAGAAACCCCTTTTAACCTACTTAATCGCAAAAAGGTATCAAATATGTCAACTTCTGGGTTATTCACTTTTCTATCTGAAACAACTTTTCATCGCTTGCTTTTAATTTATCTATGGAATGTTTTCTTACCATACTGTTGCTGTGACCTGTGGCTTAGCCTGGTTCCTTCTCTCTCTGCTTGTGCTATTTCTTTATGGCTGTCTTTAGTTACATGCCTTTGCCTCAGCAGTCACCTTTCTACGCTTTGACCTAAAAGCAACTACTTCATTAATAGTCTATAAATAACCTGTCCTAAAGCCTGATGAGGGAAACGGTGCCAAGATATCTCAGCTGGTACAGAAGCTTTCCATCTACACTGGAAATTAAAAGCTACACTAGATTTTCCTCAGATTCCTTAGAGCTATACCTCTTGCTATTTCCCTCTCCCAATTTTTGGAAAATAGGATGCGAGGGGTTCAATACCAGACACAGAGGATGGGATCCTAGGCATGTTTCCAAGGGAGAACATGCATTGCTTAGAACCTTTGAAACTGTGAGGCCCAAAACCGAAATGCATTTTAGGCTTCATCAGCAAGGAAAGTTCAGGGTGCAATAGATGGTCACTGCCCTGTTCCTAGAGAAGTACAGGCACTCTTTACCCTCACCCCACGTTAGGCAATATGACGAATTTTTCCACCTATAGGTTCAGAAATGAAGGCAGCTTTCCAGAGGAACCAGGCAAAATCCTGGACTACTGAAACTGGTGAGTACTTATCCTAAGTGCCTTCCTTGACGACTTCAAAATCATAAATCCCTAAAATTCCCACTCCTCTTGCCACTGCAGGCACTCCTAGCACTCACACACAAATGACTGAGAAACACTGCAGGTTTGTATCCAACCCCTGAGAGTATAAAGTAACATTCACAGCTAGTGACTGCTTCTCCTGTTTCAAAAGCTGTTGAAAAGTTGTTCTTATAATACAGTGGCTGGCACAAGCCACCACATCAGAGTCCAGCCTTTGGAACAGAGAGGCTGAGAGAACAGGCGCTTCTCAACAGCCCAGCAAATGGCTCTGGCAAGGTTTTCAGGATAATAAATACCCTGTGCCCATTGTTCATGTACTAGCAAGTCATGTCACGCTGACGTCCCCAGCCTCTGAGGTCTGAAGGTCACCAGGTGAGGAAAGCAAGTAGCACCAACCCTGTATGGCAGCAGTACTCTGCTCATCACTCACCTGTCCGCAGGTCAGCTGCCGTAAGAGATGCCGGCTTCCCCACGACCAAGCATCCTGGGACCTCAGCCCCCCCGAGCTGCTTGATGCCACACTCCATCCACTCAATCTCCTCACCAGCAGGCCTCTCCCAGAGCACTCTGCCATTCGTGCCAGACACAGCAGCAACAAAGGCACATGGAGAAGGCAGACCTGAAGAGAAGAGATGTCAGAGGGAGGACTACCTACACCTACCTTTGCGGCTCCGCACCACCCAAGACCTGGGACTCACCCCGTTGCTCTCCCCACCCAGCTAATCCAGTTTTCTCTCCCAGTCCCAAAGCAGCCTCACTAATTAGAGCTAAAAGAGAAAGAACAGCCCTTACTACAAGGGTTTGTTTCTGAATCAGCTACCTTCATCCAGACAGGATCTGTTGAAGCTGCTGCTGCCGTTGCTAGCTTTGAAAGCAAAGATGACATCTTGCACTTTGTCTTCATTCACATCTTCTATAGCAAGAAACTGGTAGGCCACTGTAAAAAAGATCACAAGCCAGGCACCGGTGAGGATTGCCTCAACCAACAGCAGAGCTAGCTGGAGCAAAACACAAATTCCTAGAGACCTACTCACCGCCTCCATCTCTGACAGTGTAACATCAGGACAAATTGGCTTTTGTATTACAAAAAGCCGTCTACATGAGTACTAAGGACTGGAAGTTAGTGCCAAAGGATTTTTTAAATCTGCTATCCCCCAGAGGATTTGTCTTTTTTTATAGCCAAGCAGCCAGAATTTGAACTATGTTGAACAAAGAAGAGCTCTGGTCTTGGTGTGGGATTGCTATTCCTGAAATATAAAAAAAAAACAAAACCCAAAACCAAACCCCATGAAACCCAGCCCCAGATACTCCATCTTTCTCACTCTCAGCTAAAAGCAGCCTTCTTCAGCTCAGAGTAGCAGAACTTGGGATTTCTGCATTAACACACAAAGCTCAGTCCCTGTTGGTGAGCACTATCTCTGCATTTACAGCATAACCAGCATGTACCCGCTGCACATAAGATTAAAGAAAAGCTTTCACAGAAGCAAATGCTGAGCCACCAGGGAGCAGTACCCAGCCTAAAGAGCCGACTAAAGCAACTATAAATTTGTCCAATTTATAAAAAAAACAAGATGCAATTCTTCTTCTGCCCTTCCTCTGTTAGCCATGGGGAAAAGTTAGAAGGTCGTTAGAAAGTCACACTGACAGCAAAAAATGCCTAATTGTCTCCAAACCTCAGCTGAAACTTCAAGGGAACATTTTACAGACCAAACTTCAACAAATACTTATTCCCAGATACCCTTCCCCCTTTTTTTTTTTTTCCAAATGAGGCCAACCTGCTACCTTGTTAGCACTTCAGAGCAGCATCTAATTTCTCCATCAGATCCTGTAAACACCTCCTGGAAGGCCACTCCAATTATGATGGGCCACTGCTTAATCAGGTCAGGTATTCACAGCTCTCGCTCCCAAGGGCAGCATCCCTGCAGGCCTGGCTTCAGATTGTGCTTAGGTAGAGCTCCACAATTCAAATTCGTGGCACCCAAAGGAAAAGGACTGTTGCTAAGTATTTATTCCGCTACAGCAAGCTCACCTGCATTGTCGTAGTTCCGGAACCATGTTCTTTCTGAAACTGGCCTCTCTGGGCAAGGAATGATAAATGAGAAAGCAAACACAATTATCAGACACAGAAATAATGAGATGAAGAAGGCAGCAGTGCGCCACCGGGACAGCCGAGACAGTTGTGATGACTGCTTGCTGACAATTCTTCTCTCCACAGAGTTTTCATGGTTCTCTTGAGCTTTTACATCCTCAGTCTTCAGAGGGTGGATCTCAGCTTCTGAGTCTTTGTTATCCATTGCAGCTCATTCATCAGTGATTCAGACACCCTTCTTCCCTTTCACCTGCAACAATGGAAAGAGCAGTTAAAACAGATTTTGGAATGTATCAAAAAAAACCAACAAAAATATTCTGTTACTACCCGATACCCAAGCTGGAAACATTTAATGGGAGGTGAGCAAATCAGCGTATTGTCACAGAGCTGGATACAAAGCACCGTTGGTACCGGAGGTCTCCCATTACTTAGTAATGGGGAGAGACTGCAGGATGCAGGAATAGCACTATTTCTTCAGAGAAGGAAGAAATCAGCTCTGCTAGACCCAGACAAAGAAGGCTACAGCTTCTACACGGAAAGGACCGACTTGTCTATAGGTCTCCCTCAAGAAAAACATGCCAAAAGCTCCTTTTGCTGCAAAGACTTCTTGCCACCTCCTGTGTATGTCAGCCTGACTCCTGGCTGGAGAGGTGAAAGGAAACACTCCTCACCTTTATATCCCAACATAAGGCCGTTCCCTACTGTAATGAGCACTTGAACTTCCCCAGGAGACAGAGAGAGAAACAAACACTAGCATATTCTGCATAGGAACAAACCAAAGCTATTCAACACCTTCTCAGAGGAGAAACCACTTGTTAAGTTCAGCAACTGAGCCCTGCAGAAGGCAAGAGAGTGATTACTTCCTTCCCTGGAGGAAAAAGAAGGCACAAGCTGAGACAAAAATGTGGCAAATTTGATTTCATCAGAATGGAAGAAGAGCTAACAACTGCTATTTTAGTTTTTCCTGCTATAAATCATAATCTTGAGCTACAGCTACAATAACAGAGAGGTTCTGTGCTAACTTGTTATAAAAGGGAAAAAAAAAAGCCCTGGTCAGTTACAGAAGCCTGTAACTCATTACCCACAACAACAATAAAAATCAGTATTACATACAGTTTCTCTGATAGTGCTTCTTTAAAAAAATAGCGGAAAGGAAGAAATAAAGAATAACACATTCCAGTAGCCTTGGAAAAAGCTGCATGGCAGTGTCATAAAAAGTTATATCAGAGCAAATAAACATGACAACTGAGCCAAGTTTCCATGACTGTGCCCCAGCAGTCACATGCCTGGATTGTCCACTGGAGCAATTTACTTCCCCAGCAGAAAATAGCTTAAACTCAGCACCAGCACACAACGCAGAGAGCTTGGGCTTTCAACTCCAACAATAACGGGGCTCGTTACGTCTCACGTTTCATGCCCAAGTTCATTTACAGGTTCAGAGAAACACAAGATGAGAGTCACCCTTGGGAGGCCAGGCTCCTTCAGACAGCTGCGGCTCGACTGGGGGTCTCACTTCCCCAGGCTGTTCCTGTCCCACCGCAGGGAAGAGATGCAGAGGCCTCTTCTCTTCTGGGTACAACTCACAGGGGAGACAGACCTACGGCAAGGCAGGGATTGAGTGCATGGGGCGAGTGGGACAGCCTGGCACGCTGCTGTCAATTCCCTAGCTAACCTCAGTGTCTGCTGGACTTATAAGGCTGGAGTTACAAAGCACTTACTCCAACCCGAGCACTCTGGCAGTTATTCTATGACAGCACATCGAGTACATGATCTCGCTCCAGACAATTTAATTCAAGCTGCACGATCCCATGCAAATACAATTAAATCAATAATGTAGAAGTTATATCTTATTCCAAAGACCTTACTCCAAAGACCTCATCTGCCCTTTACATCAGTCTACCAGTAACACCAGAGACACCTTCATGAGGCCAGCTGTTTCCAGACCAACCGCAGGCACCTGACAGAGGAGATATGGGTAGGAAGGCTCCAGATGGAAAGGGGAAGAAAAGGAAGAGCTGTGCATTCAGCCTTCCCCCCATCCCGGCCATCACGCTGGCGAGCTGAGCACCGCTCCATTACTGGAGCCAGCCAAGCACCTGACCTCCAGCAGGTTCAAGGTACAAGGCTCCAGGTGCAGGCTGAGCAAATGATTTACCGGAGCAGAGCAACCACCGTCACAGCAATGGGGACGGCAGCAGGACTTGGTCACGTGGCCTCCCTTGCGATGAGGCAGATGGCTCGTTGTATGTCTGGCGTGCCTGTCTCCAGCAGCAGGGAGAGGTGGATCTTTTCAAGCACTGCGGTAACCAGCGTCCACAGCACGGGCTGCGACAGGGCTCCAGCGCAACCCCACCGGCCTCTCCAGCAGAGCTGTCCGCAGCCCCCAGTGCAGACCCGGGAAAACTCCAGGGCACAGCCAAGTGCTTCCAGCACCTACGAGACTTCCCGAAAAGAACCAAAACCAGGCTTCTCCACACTTAGTCCAAAAGGGCCACCATCTTAATGCTGTATGGAAAGCCTATTTTTATGACTCACTATAAATCACACCACTGTCATCCAGACTGGGATGAGAACAATAAAAAAAGTGGTAATTATCCTGACAGCCCCAGCAATTCCCCTTCTTTTGCAGCAATGACCCTAGGAGCCACGGATTACAAAGAGCACTCAATGCCTTTAAAGCAATTCTTTCTCTTTTCTTCCAGGGTTTGAATAATGCCCTTTGCACCCCTGCCAGAGCAGAGGCAGTGCCAGAACAATGACCACAAAGGTCAATGGCAAAGACTCAAACAATGCAGGAAATCCCATCGCCAGCAGTTGCCAAAGTACATGCTGGCAGCATGTGAAACGGTCTGAGCTCTGAACAACAAAGAAGTCTGGTAATCAGTTTAATTGAAGACAAGCAGAAAATGATAGTGTGCATTTCAGATGATTTTACTGTCCTCTAGCAGCCGGCATTTTGTCTCCTGCTGGCAGAGGACACAAAATAATTCACTGGAAAGTTTAACACATCTGGGCACCTTGCAAGGATATATGCAATGACAGGATCGTGTGCTGCTGCATTATTAACACACACTGCATGCACTAGATCTCGTAGCTAGCACCAGCTCTCTGCTTCAGGACTGGAGGCCTCACTGTGAGAAAACATGGGAAAAAGACTTCATAGAAAAGGAAATAATTATAAAATGCATGCAGCAGACCCAAACCGAACCCACACAGCCCAAGAAGCACTGCAGTACAGTCAGGATCTGCATTCCATACGACTTTGCTGGTGTGTGCACTTCCGTCGCTCCCCAAGCTTTAAAGGCTACTTGCCCCCAGCAACGGGACAAGCTACGAGCAGTCTCCGATCAAAACCTGTCCCCACAGTAACAACGCTGCACTCGGGACAAACACAGCTTTACTCACCTTCATTGGGCACTGACTTTCCTTTTCTTCTGAAGCTACAGCGCAGATTTACAATCTGATCTGAATCAAACCAGTGAAACTTGTGCAGCAAGTGGTTAGTGCCAAGCCACAGCTAAATCCAAGAGACAAACTATCATTACCAGTCAGCTAGAATTGCCTGACAAGCACAGAGAACCACATACAGTCGGAGGTATGAAAACTGGTGACAGAAACCATTTAAGCGTCAGTGTGATGGAAGGTTTAACTCATTTTCCACCCATAAAATAGCAAACCACAGCATTTGTAATCTCACCAGGCACCAGTTCTTCCTGGAAAATTTCTAGCAATATAGCATAACTTAGATTTGATGTTCAACATGTTTATATCTTTCACAGAATGATGAAATCAGATTCTGACTGGCCATTTTAGGAAACCAAACACAGCATTTGGGTGTTGTGATTCTGTATTTTTTTGTTTTAAGCACTTTACAGGTTTCCTTCCTGTCAGCCAGAAATTGCTGAAGCCCCACGCTGCAATCAGTAATGACAAGACAGTTTCCAAATTTTGGTCTGAACAAGATGCAATGTTCCCTTCATGGCTGTCTTCCACATGCAGACTGTTCAGTTTTGATCCAAACTATGGCACAGCACTGCAGCAAACCTGCCGGGCAGTCACCTGCTGCAACATCAAGACATTATTGGGTCATTTTTTCCCCTTTTCTGCAGTCCCACTTACATCAGGGTCCAGCCACGAGGAAGCAACACGTAAGATTTCCCCCAAATGAGGACATTTTCCTTTCCAAATACACTCAGAATGCACAGCGTATACAAGCTTACAGTTTTGCTGGGTCATCTGCAGCTCGCAAAATATAAAGTCGCAGCCACGGGCTGGTGGGAAGAACTGCCTCGAGGAGACCATCTCCTTCTGACACCGGGGTACCTCTGCTCCTGCTGACGTCCTTGTGGCCTTTGTCAGGACACAGTTTGTAACCCAGACCACACCAAAGACAATGCAGGCATGCGGCTCAGAGAAACACCCACATTGTGCTGCTACAGCTGTCCTTTCCCCTCCCCTCACTCTTGCTATTTTGCCTCTGTTAACAAAGGCAAAAAGAAGTCTCTTCAAAACACCACGTTCTTCTTAAATGACACTTAACCCTCCAGTGCAGACACAACGCATGCCACAGTATTCAAAGCAAGTGAATTGGAAACTCCTCCAGAGCACAGCCAAATGTCACCTTAGACTGTGATACATCTATCATTTGTAGGAGAAAAGTCCTCTTTTCCAGGGCAGTTTTCACTACAGTTGGGGTTTAAGCAGAGAAAATCGATTTGTTTAGTGAAGAGCAAAACATGATCCAGTACTTCTTCCAAGACAGCGATGAGAAGAGCAAAACTCTCTAAGATGAAGAACAGCATTAAAGGTGCAAAGCTGTGTGGAACTGATTATAGGTTAGGCCAGTAACAACCAAGCAGCAGAAACACGTGCCATTTAACATCCCAGAACTTACATGTCCGAGACATTGCCACCTCATCCACAGGGCTCCCCTGCTTGCACCAGAAGCATGGCGACTTCTCCACACTGCCAGATGTTTAACATAATAGGGACTTTGAGGAGATCTTGGTGCATGAAAACCCTTTAGAAAAGGCTGTGGTCATTTCATGTAGGTTTATTAAAAATCATAGAATCAGAGAATGCTTTGTGTTGGAAGGGACCTTTAGAGATCGTCTAGCCCAAGCCCCTGCAGTGAGCAGGGACAGCTTTAACTACTAGATCAGGTTGCTCAGAGCCCCATCCAACCTGACCTGAATGTTTCTAGGG